AAAAGACATCGAATGAGAGGCAAAAGAAGACGCAGAAAAGACGCGGAAAATTGCATGATCACTAAGAAGCCATGTTAACAACTTTTTTTGTTTTTTCGAAACGGAAACTTTTTTGAGCATTAAATTTTTATCGATCCAGTTAGCGGTGCGTGCGGCGTTTTCGCAGAGGGTTACACAGATAGGAAGTGTCACACAGATAGGATGTGTCACACAGATAGGATGTGTCACACAGATAGGAGATGTCCCCCCTTATTGGGGAATTTCCGTGTCTGCCGCCCCCCCTCCCCCCGCGTTAGGAGCCGTAAAACTGCACAGCGCGAGACTCGAAGTGTTCGCGCGACTGGCGGTCGACGACGTCCGTCACGTTTTGTCGGCGCTTTTGTCGATTGTACAGGCGGTACAGGTGCTGCTTTGTGCTTTCCGGAGTGTACAGTCTTGCATCAGGGCGGCTAATCCTCTTGGTGAAGCGGAAGAGGTCTCCCCAAAGCAACTTCCTCGCGCTTTTGTATCCATAGCCCTTAAGGATTGTGCCGTTTCTTGTTCGTAAATTGGGAATCAGGGATGAACTTTTGGTGACGACAAGTCGCTCGAAATTTTGCGGCCTGGAGCATACGTCGATTAGGACATGCTTGCCCGATTTGATGGTAGGAAGGATGACCCTTGGCCAGAAAAAGGATTTCTCCTCAGGAGTCAAGGCCTCCGCTTCGGATCTGTATGCTGTTCTGGGGCCTTCACATTTACGGATCACAAGATAGGAAAATTTTAACTCGTCTACATTCTTCGCTCGACTACCTTTGCAGTAAATATGATGAGAGAGTCTATGTGTCCTCTGAGAGAAGTGGCACCAGTCCTTCCCTGTTAAGGCTAGCGGACAAATGCTCTCATGAGGGCATGGGGCGATGAAGTGAAACCGGTCATACTTCAACTCGGTTATAAAGAGCTCTCTTATCGAATGGATCATCCGAAATCCAGTGGGGGTGCCACTCTCTACAATGATGAGCATCCCTCCAGTAGACAACCTATTCCACATGTTCTTTATGTACAAATTTCTTGCGTTGTAATCATAGAGGGTTAGTAGAATGTGCGACGTCATGATGAGGTCATATTTGTCCATGATATTGTAGAGGTTCATCTGGTACATGACGTTTGGGATGCGATCCGTCAGATATTTCGAAATGGATTCGAACGAGTCGGAGGACTCCACGGCCACGATGTGGTGACCGCTATTGCCGCCGCTATTGCCGCCGCTGTTGCTGCCGCTGCTACTGCCGCTGCTCCCGCTGCGGTACAACTCATTCACCGCCACCACCGCAACAGCGGGGACGGCTGAATAGATCAACACCTTCTTGGGCATAAATGTTGGGACTCGGGTCCTGATCTCGTGCAGAACTCGGTACATAACACCGTAGTGAGCATTAAAATTGTGAAGCGTGTACGCGATGGACGACTCAGGGAAGAAAGTCATCCTCGCGGGGGAAACGTTCCTTCCTATGTGTCTCGAATCCTCCGCGTGCGCCAATGCCATCTGCTCCACATCTTTCCACTTGTTCTGGTACTCTTCCAAATGTTGCCTTAAACATTGGTATGATTTCTTTTCAAGCAGGTTACCTAATTTGTTCCTTCCCCTTCGTTTCTTTTTTTTTTCTTCACTGCACGGTTGCGGTTCTCCCCCTTTCTGCTCCTCCTCTTCCTCCTCCTGCAACTGATGCACCAATTTGGAGGGCAAAATTCGAGGCAACTCTACACAGTTCCTGCTTGTCACTTTCTGCATTACATATCTTCCCAATTTTTCCAGATCTTTTTTTTTCACAAATTGTTTTGCCAAGTTTTGTAGTTTTTGCCTGACTTGTTCAGGTATTTTTAACGTCTTCAAGGATACCATGCTTACTCGGTCTAGGTGGTCCACTTCCTGCGCGCTTAGACTTTGACTCTCCGCGAGTTTGTCGAACTTGAACCCTCTCAGGGCGGCCATGCCGCGTGCGCCCCCGCGTCTGGGCAGCAGCATCTCAGGAGGAGAGACGGTGACAACTCAGAAAGCAGTGGCGGTGACTACTCGGAAAGACGTGGCCGTCTTTTGCTACTCTCCTGTACGTTCATTGGCATTCCAATTAGGCCCTTCTATGACTTCATCCGGTGGGCAACGGTGTATACACTCATTATAAAAAGAAAAGCAGCATGTCCTGGTACTTTCTGCGCTCCATCATCACTCCTCATCAAAGCGGCCTCGTTTTTTTCCTTTTTTTTATGCTACTTTTTTATCAACCTGTGCGCGGCCGGCGGAGTTATATATTCTCCATTCCCGGCACTTCTGCGTCTTCCCAATTTTTCCATTCCGCATCCTCTGGCGGGGGACTCGCAGTAAAAAAAAAATAATAAATAAATAAATAAAATAAACCAATAAAGCGATAAAAAGTGGCATAATCCCATTGCAGGCGTGTTATCCCCTGTTTGTCCCTTTTTAAATGTCCGAGAGGGGATTCGTAACACGGGTCGGAACAGAAGCAGCGCGCCGGAAATGCGGCAAACAGTTGTTTGCGGCGCCGCTGCACTGTTGTGTTTTCTTCGCTGTTACGAGTTTTTTTTTTCCGGTGGGGTAACTGGAAAATGGAAAAAAAGCCCTACCGTGAAGGAAAAACCTTTTTCTGGTGAGCACGCTTGGGCATCCATCTTGACGTTATTTTCTGGAGCAACTAAGGTCGCAATTTTTGGCATCCATTTGGTGTCATTTGACGTTGGCTATTTTTTGGTTTTTTTTTTTTCTACTTGTTTACTGTTTGTTGCGCCACTTTTGCGTCTCCTATTTTTTGGCGACATTGTACTGCGTGCCCCCTTACTGGATCAACCGCCGCTTCAAGAGAGGCTCGAATGAAACGTCGGCCAGGTCGAGCTGCCAAGTCAAACGGCCAAGTGTCATTTTATCCGTGACGGCCTCTTGACGACGTCGCTTAAGGGAGTCCCACCGCGCGGATGTCTCCTTCCCCCGTGAGCCTTCCATTTATAGACTAACCTCCATTGGTGTCGCCTTGCATCTTTGAGTGGCCCCCCCCCGTGTTGCCAATCCAACCAAAAGGAGTGACGCCGCTGGCACAAAGTAATCGTCTGAGGTTTGCTCCCCTACATTTGAAACATCAGCATTTTTCAGCACAGCCGAGACTACTACGACGAGAGGGAAAGTCAAGACTGCTTTCCTTTCCTTATTTCTCCCTAAAAGGAAATCAAACTGAAGTTAAAGGGTATTCCCCCTCAAAGGAACTTCCTCCATGCCACGACAACATGGAACTACTAAAAGTGAAGAGGTATGCGGAGCTTATTGACGAGTTCGCCAGGCAGGGCGATGAGCTGCTGCAGGTGGAGAACAACACCCCCCCTCAGAAAGAAGGAAGTAACGAAAAAGGAAAAAAAAAGGACGTCATTGAAATTATAGAGTATTTTTCAAACATGCTGGTAAAATATTTTTACACTGACTACCAATATGACAATATTTCAATTGTTGACTCTGGGTTCGATTCAGAACAACTTTGGTTGTTTATCGAGTGCCTCATAAAGGAGAAGAAGCTGGAGAGTCTACTTTCCTTTTTTGAGAAATACGAAAAAGGATTAGACAGTCAGATAGAGAGTGAGAGGGGGACCAAAGCGGAGGACTATTCCAATGAGGAAGAAGATGACACAATAGGAGAGAGGGCTCAGAAGAGATGCGCTGTCAATCGGGTGAAGATGAACACGAGAGGAGGGCCCTCGTCTAAAAGGAGAAAGGTCAGCTTTTCGCAGGGGGGTACACAGGTCAGCAATGCTACCGCCGTCAGCGTGGACAGCGGCGAGGCTATCAAGAGTGGAGATGCCCCCGGGGCAGACGAATTTTTCGACGAGGATGAAATGCACCAATTCCTCGATGAAGAGGAGAAGAAAATGTTACGAGGGGAGTCGGGGGATGACTCGGAGGGGGCGAGCGGTAGTGATAGCGGTGGCAATGGCTATAGTGATAGCGGTGGTAATGGCAATAGTGATAGCGGTGGCGAGGTGGACCTTAACGAGTTCCAGTGCGACTACGAGGAGGGACGCAAGTTAAAGTACGGCGATTTTTACAAAGGGGGGGAGGAAGAAGAGGAGGACGACGAAGATGCGGAGGACGAAGAAGAAGAGGATGAAGATGATTACGAGGATGACGATGAGGAGGATGAGGGGGAACACCTGGATCCAGACGACGAAGGGCCCCGCGGTCGGCGCGGGCCCGATCGACGCAGCCGAAAAGAGAGGGACGAAGAAATCGAGCGCGAGCTGCGTAGAATAAATGAGTTTGACACCCAGTACCAGGGTGAAAGGGACGAAGCTGGAGGGGAGGACGCTGCACGTGAGGAGGAGGATGACAACCCACAAATGGACACCCCACAAATGGACAAGGACAGAATGGAGAAGGAACTCATCCAAAAGAAGCATTGGTCGCTCACGGGAGAAGTGTCTGCACACGATCGTCCCAAGAACAGTCTGCTTAGCCTAAACGTGGACATCCCGAAGTTAAATTGCGGTGGAAACGACGCGTATGTAAGTAAAGCCGTGGGGGAAGAGGAGGAGGAGGACGACGACCAACGAAGTGATGAAAACATCGAGAAAGGAGCAACATTCCATGGAGGTGCCCCCGGGGCAGATGGCAGCAAAACCAAGCGGAGGAACCTCCTGAATGACGAAATCGAAATGGTGGTTAAGCAAAGGATACAAAATATGCTCTTCGATGATGTGGAAAGAAAACGAATAGAAGACCTCGACCTCCTGCTCAACGAGTCGAAAGAGAGAGTTCCGAACCACGACGAAGTCAATTTCGATCATCTCAGCTTCACCCAAAGTAAACTCAGTTTAGCAGATGAATATACAAAGAAGTATGAAGAAGAAATAAAAGCCAGTCAATCTGAAAAAAGAGAAATTAATCTGCAAAAATTGGAGCTCATGAATCTGTATAAGAAAATCATCCATTGTTGTGATTCTCTGTGTAACGATTTCTACGTTCCCAAGCCGGCACTACTGAATCCATCAAACGGAAGTGAACAATTTGCCTCCCTCCACATTGAGGAGACCGTTCCGATTATCCTGTCAGAAAAGGATAGAAATGCACCTGAGCAATTGTTCCAACCGGGACATATAAAACAAATGGAAGAAATGCATCAGAAGGAAAAGAAATCGATGCGAAAATCCAACAAGGTTAAGAGGAAGAAGAAGCTACTCCATCTGTTTGGACAAAGTGGAAAAGGAATCAGTGAACTGAAAAAGAGGAATGAATATCTCAGTGGCAAAAATAGAAAAGTCAAGGGGGAGAAGGAGAGCGCCGCTAGGTACGGCGTAGGCTCCAAGGACCAGTTGCGCGGAAAGGGGCGAAATCGCTACGATTTCGCGGGGGCGATCTCCCAGGCGCAGGCCCGAGACGCGAGCGGGGTGGTTGGGAAGCGGTAGAGTAGAAGACGTGATAGAGTGGCGAACGCGGTGGGGCTTCTTATTCCCATGCGCCTTGTCGCAGTCGATGCCGAGCCACAGCTCAGTCATTTCTCAGCCGTTGCTCATCCACTACCTCAAGGCATTTCCGAAACGCAACTGCTACGAAGTTAGTACATCAGGCGCGCCCGTAAATGAAGATGTGAAAAAGATAGCGGCAAAGTTGGTAGCTCCTCATCCGCGTGGCAGAAATGCTGCCTACACCCTCAATCGCGTTAAGAGGTGAACCAGGAGAGGGGAAGTCCCTTGTCTGCGTGATTGCATCAATTTTGCCTTGTCCCGCGGGTAATATTTTTTTTCTTTTTTTTGCACAAAATGGTGAGAGGTGGCAGTGCCAATGACGTTTGCCAGTGGTGTTTACCAGTGCGCTTCCCTTTTCAACCAAAATGTGCCTCATTTTTTTGGTGTAAACTTTTCCTTTTTTGTACTCCCCACGCGGGGTGACGTGCACACTTAAAAGAAAGAAAACAACGCAAAGGGGATACGGCGAGGGATCGTTCGACCGCGCACAGATAATCTGCTCTACCAAGGATTGAGCGAAACACCGAATGAATTTCCCTCGTGTGGAAGGGTACATTTGGAAAAGAAGAAGAAAAAAAAAAAAAAAAAATCATTTTTGCTCCTTTTCAAAAGACATAATTGCGTGTAAATGTGCCTGCGGTTGCGGTTGCGGCTTCGGTCGCGGCGTGGGGCCGCAGTTTTTGGCCCTCCCACATTTGGGCATGTGCAGGTTAAGAGTTGTTGGCCCATCGGTGGTGTGCTAATGGGGAATACACATGGCATATACGATCCAGATGTGTGATTGAAATACATGTGAGGAGTGATTCACTTATGAGGCCTGCCACATGTGCGCCTTTCTAACGGGCACAACAAGGGCATACTTCTGACTGGCCATGTTACCCCCTGTGTGGGCTT